AATTACTCATTATGAAAGAAAAAAGTGAATTCTTTTTGTAGTTGAGTGAAATAATTTAAAGATTCCAGTATTGATCATCACGAGTTGAGGTATATGGATATTCAATCAAATTAACACTATGCTCTCCACATATTGGACATTCAGTGGCATAACAATTAAATTGTTCTTCTTCATCTTTAGCAAACATAATAGACTGGGTAACAGAACGAGCAAAAGGAGTAGGATGTTGAGCAAACTCTTTTTTAATACAAAGAATATGGAAACAATGGGAACATGGGAACATAGCACCTCTAGACTGATCAATTGAACCATTTTTAAATTGATTAAAAATTGGTTCACCACAGAAATTACATCTCAAAAGATTTAATTCTGTTTTAAAATATTTCTTATGACGAGCAGTAGAGTTTTCAAAAAGGGCACTAGATCCACAAGATGTTTCAATTTCATTATTTAGTCTTTTTTGTTTTTTATCTTGGGTATCAACTGCATTCTTGATAACACCTTTAAACTCACCTAATTCCCAATCTAAAGGTAATAATGGTAATATGTCTTCTATTGGTATTTTATTTTTTGTTATTGTTTCATAAATTTTCTTTCTTTTAATTGCTTCATGTTCTGAAGATGATGTAATTAAAGATAAATATCCATTCATAGCTTTAAGATAATAATATTGCTTTTCATCTTCTCCTTTTATTTTAGATGGTAATTTAAGTAATAATGAAACATCTTCTTCAAATCGATCCATCTTATCTTCATAATTATAAGTTTGAAGTAACTTAATTCCATCATCAATTGCAGCTTCAAATCGTTGTTTTTGAAGATTCATAAACATACATGATCGTGTCATTTCTTTATTCTTCAAAGCTCTAAGTGCACTATCATATTCAACCAATTTCCAATGTTCTTTTTCTTCTAAGAATGTTTTGATTGTATCATCTTCAACTGTACTTTCAGGTTCAACATACTTCCAAAAAATAAATTCAACAAGTGCTTTATCACTTCCATGTTTCTTTACAATTTCCTTTTTACTTAATAATTGATTAGCAAATTTTAAAGAGAAAGTTTGATCTTCATAAATAAGAAGTGTTGAATAGAAAATAGGATAATTGCTTGTATCTCTTTCTTCTAAAAATTCAATAAATTCTTGTGGTAATTTAATAAATAAAATACCAAAATATTTCTTCATTAACTCCTCCCCAATGTCTTTATCTCGTTTATTCATACATAAATTCTTTAGAAATTTGAAAGCCTCTTCATACATACTTCTTTCCATTAACCAACTTACTTTACCTTCATAATCTCTTGTACAATCACAATAAGTTGAATATGCTTCTTCTGAACCACAACTACGTACCATATATCTAACAATTTGGGTATTGATTTTATCAACACCATCAAATTCTTTACTAAATAATACTTTCATTTGATTAAACACGTTACTAACTTTCTCTGTATTATTTAATTTTTCTAATAATAATGATACACACCAGCAATACAATACAGCACATGATATTTTCTTTCCTTTTATCTGTGATTCTTCATTTAGTTGTTTAAATAATGTTCTATATAATTTATTTTCATCTACAATATCCTTTATTAATTTCTTAGTAAATGGTTCATCCTCCTTACCATAATTTAATGGCACAGTAAATTGATATAAACAAAATTCTGTTGCTACAAATAAAGTTTCTTCTTCTGAAGTGATATCAGCGCACATAGTGATAGCTCCTCCTTCTAATTGTTCTTCACATCTTTGATCATGAATAAGAGAATAACATTCTAAATGGTCATTATAAAGATAGAATATATGATTTTGTGTTTGACAAGCCATAACAACATCTTTAATATTATCCTTTTTACTAATTTGAATTAATTCATTTCCTCTTAGTTCAAATACAATTCTACTTACAATACTACTTGACTGTGCTGGATTAACTGGATCAATTCCTTTCATCTTTCCTGATACCCAAAGAACATTAAATTTATTATTAATTTCTACATCTCTCATTAACGAGAAATATCCTGTTTCAGGATCAGTTTTTAAAGGCATAATAAGAATTGTTTCATCTTTAGCAATTTTTTTATTCTTATTGATTACAATCTTTTGTAAACAAGTTGAAGATGAAGCTAAAATAATGGTATTAACTGGTGTTTCAATCCAATCTAATCCATTAAATGGTGACACATCTCCACCAATTTTATTGTTATTAGCATATAATATCTCTGAATTAGATTTAAATGTATTTAGATCAATAACTAATTTAATTATTACTCTGTTTAATGTAGATAATAATACTTTAAGTTCTTTTTCATTACTTGTACTATTACTATTAAATTTTATAGCAGTAATAATGTCATTAGCAGTTCCATCAGTTAAATTAGGAATTTTAATTTTTGTTGCTGAGATAAGATCTTTACTTGTATAATATAATTCCCCATTTAATGTATACAATAGTAAATGATTTCCTGTTGGGTCAATAGCCCCTTTAATAATATTATGCTCTGATATATCTTTGATTAAATTAAATGTGAGTTTTTTTAATAAAAAGTGTTTCTCTTTACCAAGAATCAATACAGTTCCTTTTGCAGCACAAATACTTTTTATAGTTATTCCTCTATAAGAAATATCATGTGTTGATTTATCTAACCAACTGCTTTCTATTTCATCTATATCAATTCCTTGTATTTGATTTCCAATTGCTTTAGGCTTAGGGAAAGATGGTCTATTTCCTTTAATTGATGGAGCAGTTTCAGGTTGACCAAATGGATTATTATTAATTGATGAATTAGGTTCTCCAAATGGATTATTTGATGTGGGTTTAGGTGTAATAGAGATTCTAGGAGGCTGATCTTTAAATGATTTAGTTAATCCTTGTTTAGATGTAGAAGAAGTTAGCTTTGGTGGTTCTTCTCCAAATGGATTAGTTGAACTTGGATTAGGTGTTTTTGATTTAACAGGGACTTCGGAAGATTCAAATGGATTAGAATATGTTGACGCAGGTTCACCAAATGGATTATTTGATGATAGTCTTGTTGTAGAACTTGTCATTTTTGGTGGTTGATCTTCAAATTGTGTATTAGTAAATGAAGATGTTTTAGAAGAGTGAGACTCTTGTGGTTGAGTAGCCTCAGTTTTTATACTATCTAATGTTGATGAATCTCCAAATGGATTTGTAGAATCTTCAATTGTAGATGATGAGTCTTTAAATGGTTTATTTGAATTAACTTGCATAATTGTTCTTGGACTTTTAGAAACAGTTGGTTTGTCATTTGTAAGAAATGGATTTGTACTATCAATTTGGGGTGCTGTTGGTTCACCAAAAGGATTTGTAGAAACTGTATTAGTTTCAGAACGTGATACTGTTTTAGGACTTTTAGCAGGAACAGGAGTGTCATTCGTTAAGAAAGGATTGTTGTTTTCTAAAGACGGTTCAGAGTCAATAAATGGGTTTGATGAAATAGGCTTTGAACGAGGACTTTTTGACTGAGTAGGGATATCGTCAGTTAAGAAAGGATTAGTATTATTTGTTGTTGTTGATTCACCAAAAGGATTAGTAGAAGGGATTTTTGGACTTTTTGAAACACTTGGTTTATCATTTGTAACGAAAGGGTTAGTGTTATTTGTAATAGAATCAGAAGGATCACTAAATGGATTATTTGAAGTAGAAGGGAGAGTGTCCGATTCAAAAGGATTCGTATTAGATTGAGGTTCGTCTAAGAATGGGTTGCTCATATCAAAAGATAATTTTAAGATCCAAAGTATTTTTTCCTTTTAAGTAAATTTTTTTTTGTTCTGAATATTTTTTGTTATAGAAATTTTTGTTATGCACTATAATTTACAAAAATATACAAAAGAATTAATGAATATAGTTAAAAATGAGAAGAAACTTGGAACCCTTAAAAAAGAAACTTAAAAAATAAGGTAACCCTTGTGGCAGAAGTAATGGCAGCTAAGAAGTCTGATGTTATGAGAAAGATTAAGAT